TTACAAGCAAAACAAATTTGGCTTATTTGTAAAGCTTATTAATTAAACAAAAGGTAAAGAGCAGAAAAAGATGCTATATGTTTGATATTATTAAAAAAAATTAGCGATTGTTTTCTTCCTGGAGCAAATTACAATTAAAACCTATTTACAAGAAACCAGTATTACATGGTTGGTATGATTCTTAATACATTGTATGTCTCCCAGACGATGCAATACAGTCCGTACAACGCCCAGGCATGCTGAGTATCAAATTATCGATCTGATCTTGGGGGATATTACACCACTCAAAACGCAATGCTCTCTGAAGTTCTGGTAGGCATGTAGGAGGAGGTTGACAGGCTGCAACTCGTCGGCCAAGCCTGTCCCACACGTGCTCTACTGGATTCAAGTCCGGTGAGAATGCTGGCCAGTCCATACGGGTGATATCCTCCGATTGAAGACATTCGCTTACGATGTTTGCACGGTGAGGACGGGCGTTGTCATCCATAAACACAAATTGTCCGCCCATGGCACCCCGAAACAAACGTACATGTTGTTCCAGAATGATGTCCGGGTAGATTTGGCTTGTCATGGTTCCAATTTGAACATGCAGGTCAGTTCTGGAACCCAGAATAATTCCACCTCAAATGCACTCCTGCAGCACTGTAGCGGTGTCATTCAATGATGTTTTCTTGGTGGTAACGGGTACCTGGAGCTCTCCATATGAAAGTTCGGTGAGAATCAGACTGCAAGCTAAACCTGGACTCGTCGGAAAACATCACACAAGCCCACTGTTACGGTGTCCACAATGCATGCTCTCTACTCCAGGCTAACCGCAGGCGACAGTGAGTTGCAGTAAGTGGAACGCATCTGACAGGTCTACGAGCATATAAACCAATCTGCCCTAAGCGTCTGTACACGGTCTGCCTTGAAATTGTCCGTCCTACCAGTGGCTGAAGAGAGCTGACTAGACAGGTCTGAGGCTGTGCTCTGCCTGTTTCTTTTGGCAGTAACTGCCAAATAACGGTCCTCATTCGGCGTTGTAACTCTGAGGCGACCTATACTGTAACGTCTACTCACATTACCATCATCTTGGAATCGTTGCCAAAGCCTGGAGATGACACTCTGGGCAATTCTAAGTTCGTTTGATACTTCCAGTTGGGTACGCCCACATTCCAGACGGCCGATAATTCTACCACGTAAAAAATTATCCAGATGCGTCCTTTGTGTCATAACTATTTGGTTATTGCATTGAAATGCTTATGAAGCGCCTGCGAACAATTTTACTTCTTTGCCTGTATTCCTTATATATCACTCTCTTACTCTCTCGTCATTGTAACATACCATCTGTGTCATCTGGTTACTTCCTGAATTTTGCATATGATTCTTGAAGATGTGTGTAGTGATTTTACAGGTGATATATTTATTTTAGAGTTCGATTTCCACGTGACTCCGAATTATCCTTAATTTATGGACATGAGTGTATTTTAAACTTCGATACATGAAGGGAAGTTGTTTACAGTGAAATTGAAACTTTTTGTTTATGGTTAGTGTGTTGTTTATTTTGATTTGAAGTGGCTAAAATTACATACATATCAACTATTAAAGTTAATTATGGATCATCATTTAGCCCTTATCCATAACATATAAAAATGTTTCATTGCCTACACCATTGAAGAGTTAAAAATTAACACCACTTCTAAGATCCAGATAAAGAAAAGCTTCTAAAAGTTATTAAAAACAAAATTAAACATAATGTCCAAAAAATAAAAAATGCAATTTATTAATGTTGCACAAGAAAAACCAAAACTTTCTCACAGTCAGTTTTGTACAACCACATAGAGGGAATGGCAGCATCTTGTGACTACAGTCAAAAGTCTTTAATCCGGACTCGTCGGGACTTCCGCGATTCCGGATTATCGGTTTTTCCGGATCATAGATCATCAGTTTAAATCTGGTAAGATGGCATGCAGAAATTATAAAATGAAAAATATGAAACCGTAATTTATGAAATAAAGAGCAATTATGATCTAAAGGGTATCAAAATTTACAAAAAAAGCTTAATATTTATTTGTTTACTTTATTAACCCCTTGGGTACATTTGACGTCTGAGACACGTCATTCACCTTTTTCCCCCTAGGAGCGGATGACGTGTCTATGACGTCAAACCAAATATTAAACTCTTGGGTACATTTGACGTCTGAGAGACGTCATTCACTTGTTTTCTCTAGGAGCGGATGATTCACATACTTAGCACGAAACATTCAAATGCTAATTTGATAAACACAGGCAAAAGGAGAAAAAATGAAGGCGGCGGTAGCGAAAATATTATAAAACCGGCGTCTGTGCCTGAGTATAATAAAGGTATGGGGTGCGTTGATAAACAAGACCAATTGCTAGCGTGCTTCTCAGTTATGAGAAAATTTGTAAAGGGTTATAAGAAAATGTTTTTTTATCTAATAGATATGGCCTTTTATAATGCTAATGTTTTATATTCTAAAATCAACTGCACAACCAAGGCAGGCATTACTTCCTTTCCTTTAGCTATTGTCGAAGAATTGCTGGAGCAATTGTCATTGCCAAATTATAAACGTCCTGGACGCCCGTCAAGTAGCTATACAAAAAACCATTTCGTTTGGCAGCGAAAAATTGGGCACGCTTTCCTGAGAACATTCCGTCAACTAAGTCCAAGCAACACCCTGGAAAAAGGTGCCGTGTTTGTTATAAGCATAATATTAGGAAAGAGACTATGTGGCAGTGCAAACAATGCAAAGTAGCACTGTATTTACTTATTTGCTTTGAAAAATATCACACTCTGCATAATTATTAGTAATTGGTTTTTTGTTATAGCTTGAATTTATTTAATTTAGTTTTATTTTATTGTCATTAATTTATTTTTGTTTTGCAATTATAATTACTTGAACATATCTTAATACTACATATGTCACCAATATTTTAGAAATAAATTTTTACGTAAACGTGCTGTTTTACGTTTTACGTGCTGCTTTTACATTCTACTCCAAGCAACCAAAAATTATATCCATTCCACATGCAAAGATTTTCTCAAATAAATCCATACCCAAAGGGTTAAACATTTCTTTCAACGCGCGCCTGCGTAAAGCATACATTACGCATAGTCGAAATTAGAAAAATTGCAACCAGAAAACTATTTGATGTGTATTCGAGATATTTATAATGACGAGGAATTTGATTTAAATCATATCAAAGACGGAGTACATTGAGATGAAATATTACATTTAGTAAGGAATTAGAAGACAAATAAAATAAAAACACCTGCCCTGAAGATAAGGATAGTGCTGACAGATCAACTTCCAGTTCATTGCGCGCTGCGACGTTCCTCCCCGGCAGAGCAGCGTGAAACTGATAAACAGATTTTGGAATGGTTAGAGAAACAAAGGATATGGCTTTATCCATTTTTCGCAGCAATTCCACTTTTTTGTTTGATGGACGTAACAGATTTCGGAATGGTCAGAGAAACAAAGAATATGCCTTTATCCAGTTTTTGCAGCAATTCCAATTTTTGTTTGATGGACATCGAAACATGCTTTCGCTTTGTAGATCTTTTGACAGCTCCAGAATCGGAAATTCTTTTTGACATAATCAAAAGTTCAAGCTTACTTTTATAAAATTGCTCTAACAGTCTGCAAAAAATAATAAGCCGGATCCAGTTTGAAGATTAAGGAACAACGGAATCTGCAACATTAACTGAAATAGATAATTAGATAATTTTAGCTTAGCTTATACTGTTGTTATACATTAAAAGCGCATGTGTAAACGTATTATACTCATGCAGAAAGGTATTATGCGCTCGTGTAAACGCATATGCGCATGCGTAAACGCATTAATGCGTTTACGCATGCGCAGAAAGTTTAAAGCTTTGAGGTCCGGATTATAGATCATTCCGGATTATGGACATCCGGATTAAAGACTTTTGACTGTATAACCTCTTGGCTACTTCTCAGAGTTAGCACCAAGTGTATAAAACTATTGAGCACCAGTAGTTCAATCAGTTTTTCAAATCCTGGCGGTTGAGCAGGCTGTGTGTGACATAAATACAGTCCACTTTTCCTTAGAAAGCTTATGCACTCTCCCTTTGTAAGTTAATGTAACCGTAAGTTAATGCATTCTTCTGCTTCTGCATATTGAAATCATTTTATTGGACCCATGTATATGACCTGAAATTAAAAGCAGCACTGCGGAAGTTGCTTTTTTTTCTGTGTTTAGTATAAAGTGAGTTTTTAAAATGCAAGAATAATTCAATGTTCAATATACAGTTTACTTGAGATTTTATGCAGTTTTACTTGAGAGAAGCATTTTTTGTTACAGAAATTTTAAATTTCGTTAAATTCTGTTTTTTTTTTTTTTTTTTTTTTTTTATTTCTATGATTAGCTAGGCATAGTTTAGCTTGCGTATACTTCTGTTCAATAAATATTTTAAATTAGGTGAGGGAGAAGAGGTGAAAGCAGGAAATGAGCAAACTTGTAACTTGGGTATTAGAAACAGTTAAAAATTTTTTTGCAGCAAATTAAAAACTTGTTAAGTTACTAACTTGATTTATTTAAATTGCAGTATATTTTTATTAAATTTTTAATGTACTTGAATAAATAATTTATGAAACAATTTGTTGATGCTTGTGAGCTTATTCAAGGCTAACATATTTATGTGCAAAACTTTAATTCTTTTCTTAAAAACACTTTTGTCATGTAATGGTTAAACTCCTTTTAATATGTTTGCATTCAATCTAACCAAAATTTGTAACTTTGAAACTTCCATCGGAGAACTAGATTATTATCAGTAATTTCAACCATTTTATAATTTATAACATATAGCATCTACAAGGTTAAGTTTCATGTAATTGTTTTGTTATCTAAAGTTAATATGATCTGCTTTTAATTAAATCTCTGCATGCAGGATGTTAGTATTTTTATGCCAAATAATATAATTTTTTTTTTTCCGTATAGTTGATGATTTTAGTTTAGTGTATTTGTGATGCTTGTAGGGAAGTTTCAGTTGAAGATACTGAAGGCATTTCACATGGAAAGAAGCAAATGAGTTATTTCCCTCTCCACAGCCTTGCTTTTGATGGTGATAGGGGCACAGTGCTTGGAAAGAACATGTATGTAAAATTCAAGAGCGAGAACATATTGCTTTAAATTAAGTATTGATAAATTAATATATCTGAGTTCCTTGTTAACCTTGAAATGTTACATTTATATCAAGAAATGAAGACGTTTGTAACAAACTCACATACCAGACATAAGCAAATTTTCCCCCAAGTATAGGAGGAATGTACCAAAGCAATATTTCATGCAAACATTATGTATTATAAATCTGATTTCTTCAGATATAGCAAAGTTCATAATTATTTTCAACACCTGATGTTTTCATTACACGTAATACAATTAGATTGGAATTATCTTCTGCTATGAATAATAAAAATTTTGAATAACAAATAGTAAACAGCTATGTAAATAAAATCAACTCGATGTAATGATTAAATTGAGAGAACTCAGTTTATCGTATGAACTTTTTATTATTGCTCTCACCAACAATATAAAATCTTTTGTAGTGCAAATGGTTTGATTCATTGTATTTTGAAAAAAATTTTTATGTATGACGAAGTTTTAACAATATCACTTGTATTGGTGGTAGCTGAGAAAAATTTGAATATTATGGTAAACTTCAGAATTTTTAAAATATAATTTCATTGCATAAATACTGATCAATTATTCAGTTAATTTTTCTTTTCTATCCAACCTCACCTCTTCCCCTCTGTAACTCTACTCCTAAAACACTACACCATTTAAATAGTAAGATTGGGGTAGGTTTAAGGGTTTGCAGATGCCTGCTTTCTGTAAATCGCAAAATTCTCATACGAAGATTATTCCTTAAATTGTCATTAACTCTAGAATTTCACTTCTACTTAAAAATTAGTAAATACTTAATGTACTAAAATTCACACAATTAATTTTCACAAAAGATGAACTTTGAAAAAGTGTGTCTTAAAATTCTATTCTCTGAAAGAAAAAAAGAAAAAAAAAATCAAAGGATTGGAAACCTAAGAACCAGCATTAGACCTATAATGCATTTTCTCCCTCCTTCAGCATACCTTCGTGGTACAATGGTAGCATACTCCGAGCGTATTCGAGAGATCCAGGTTCCAGTTCTGGCAAAGGCATTGCTCATCTTTCATGTACTCCTGCTTCAAAATAATCTAATGACTCTACAGATCAAAAGGAAGAAATTCAGGTATTAAGGCGAAAACGTGTTATAGGTATTCAGTTACGGCAGCGGTTATTCATTTCACATAATGTACTGTGCAAATTATAGTGAAAAAGGTTTGTTGATTATTGTTAATAATGTGAAGGTAATAGTTTTCTTTCATTAAAAATTTTTACACGAGTACACATCATTAAACTGACATAGCCTTTACCATATTTCTATTTAATTAGAATGATATTTAGATCATTAAAGAAAGTACTCTAAAAATTAACGAGTATTTCTTAGAGAATAAATTAACATAGATACTAGTAATAGTATTTTTCTCTGCAACTACTGTCTAATGTAAACAAGATTATCAAATAAGTAGTCCAGCAACCAACAAAATGCATTAGTTTGCTATTAAACTGAAGTATTCTTTATGTGCTACATAAGTCAGTTAAATTTCTGGTTGTGAAAACAGCAAAACTAGTTTTATGGAGCAAAATAATTAATTGTGAACTCGATACTTTTTTTTTAAGTGAATGTGGTGTGAAGCAGATAAGAATGTTCAATGTCATGTAATTTGTCACCCTAGGAATGCTTTATATTATGAAACAGTTAAGTGATTTAATATCCTTCTGTATTGTTGATATAAATGATTGCATTTCTGTCTGAGTAGGTGGTGTGTGATAAATCAGTGCTGAAGGAATTTCTTTTTTATTTTCCATGATAGTAAATTAGTCGCAGTGATTTTAAAGTAGTCAATAGTTCAATATAGTATGTTGTTACTTATTTTTAAAAAAAAACTTCATCAATCTTAAGTGTTAAGATTAAAATGTTTGCAAATAAAAAAAATAAAAATTTTAAATTTTGAAATAGTATTAAATAAAAATTTTACATTTTGAAATAGGATTAAAAGTTACTGAGGGTATTGTTAGTAGTTTGTGTCTAAGAGGTTTGTCAATATTCAAGGGGATGATTTTAATAAATAGTGAACAGCTTTCAAATTGATACACAAAGCTTCAGATTTAGTTTTATTTAATTTTGCTTTTGTTTATTATGAAAGATTTCTTTCTATAATTTAAAACATTATTTACATAAATTATTAAAAAAATCTATGTAAGAAGTAATTAATTTTAATAATTGTCTTTATCTATGTAATCAATTCATAATTTTATTAATATAGCAGCATTAATAAACTGACATAGTATGCTTGCCCTTCAGTATTTTTTCTTAAACTGACATATTACACTTCCAATGCAGTACTTTTTTAATCGCACTTCAGATGTCTTGAATAGGTTAAAATCATTATGCAGATCGATAAGTATCATTAATGAATGTTGGCTTCTTTAAGATGATCACCTCCACTCAAGAATAAAACTGTCCAGAGCTGTGGGTGATCATCTTAGAGAAGGTTTAGCATACTTTAAATACAAGGTAATGGAAAGGTATTACAAGGTAAGTGACAGTAAATCTCATGACTGGATGAAAGTGGTTATGCAGAGGATTAAAGGATTTATATAAAATAAATTTAATAGACAAAACATTTTGCTTGTTTTTTATAATATTCTTGCACATTTTAGTATATAAATTTAGAAATATTTTGTTTGTAAACTAATTTTAACTGGATTGAATGTTGCACAGCTATGATAAGTCAACTGCTGAGCACCAAAGAAAGGCATCAAAATCCATCTTGTCACAGTCTGTTTCTATCATGGATAACATTCAGCGTAATGTATGATTTAGAAAACATTTCTTTAATGTATACATTATGTGATTAAATTTATTTGTCTTCTAAAATACGTATATTTTTCACTTCAAGGGATCAGAGAATTTTCAAGCTGTGGAAGAACTTAGTCTTCTTGGTCGACTTATTGGAAAGTGCACACAGGCAAATCACATTCCTGAGATAACACTTTCCTGTGATGAGGATATAGAAGATGTGTAAGTGATAGCTTATGAAATTAATACTTTAAAAAATTTTATGCTTGTATGTTATTTGTCCTTTATTGTGTGATAAAAATAAACCACTGAAGATATTAAAAAACTTTATTCAATAAATTACAGCCATAGCGCAGTAGTAAAAGACAGCTGTTCTTTTGTGAGCATAGATGCTTCTCAGGTAAGAAATTCTTCAAACCTTTGGATATTTGTGTATTTGTTAAAAAGCTGTTTCAAAGTCTATTTGGAAATTTTTGTACATTCTTAAAAATTAAGAGTTTAATTTCTTTCTATTGTTTATCTACTTAATGTGATCTTCCCTTCCTGAGTTGGCTAGTAAGGTTAAAAATACAAAACCTTGTTAATTTAAATGTGACAAATTTGATTGATTGATCCATAGATCTGGAAGGAAAAAGATTTTAGCAGAAAAACTTAATACATAGTACATTACTTAAATTATCTCTTCTAAACTTTTCTTTATTTTAACATTTCATTTAAAAGTCTTTTCATACAATCTTACAATTTTCACTTAAATTTGTCCTAATTTTCATGAAACTCATGTATTATATCAATAGAATCCCTTTCCCAATGCAGTAAAAATGTTTTGTGATGATTTCCAGTATCTTTTGTATAAGTGGCACAACTCTACCACAGCATCTTATATGTTAGAAATTCAGACCCACTAAATCTCAAAAACACCTTATTTTCAAAACTGCACCTAGTGTGCTAACAAATGCATGATTTAAACATCTGTGTGGGCTGGAGAGCCTAACCTTAAATTCATACACACAGCTGGTTTTTTTTTTTTTTTTGCTTTTAACTTAAATTTCTCTTAATTTGCTAGCATCTCATTCACACTATGCAATTTTTAATTATTTAAAGTATGTAAGTTTTAATTTACTTAACACTTATATTTGCCAGTAATTTTAACATTTACAATACAAAAACAGCAGACATACAACATTAAATGAAACATTATGATAAATTAAAATGCAGCTTGAACTGTACATCAAGGCACACAAGTTGCTTGGGATTTCTTTATATTTTTGTTAACTTTTCCTTACATCAGTTTCTTAGACTAAAACAGGGATCCTGTTTCTAAACTAAGTTAGAATAAATATGAATAATTGTGACTCAAATATGTAGGTATCACTCCCTGGCTCACCAAACACCAATTTTCCAATACATTTGTACCACATGGAAGGCTGGTCTGTAAATGTGGCTGTTGTGATAGTAACTTTTTGACCCTCTTGCACTGGATACAGTAGAAAAGCGGAATTCAACTGCTCAATATGTAACAACTGAAGTTGTCCCATTGAAGGTGACTACAGGTTTCATGGCAGCTCTTATGGTACCTACAATGAATCCAAATACCTACATTGAAAATTCATCCTTTATAGTCAGTTTTCAAAGGGAAAGGAGGCTTATGTTTTCATTCATACAACGCTGATGGAACGGGACAGCTTCCATCCTAATGCGACCTAATAGGTGCGTATTGGAATTAATGTCGCCCCGCCTTTGAATCAATCCACAATGTTGCGACCTCACAGAGCAAGGGCAGACAAGGCAGTATCAGTACGGTCCCTGCCGAGCCTTACTCTGTCCTGAGAGCCCTCAAGCCTTCTGTGAAGTCTGTTATTATGCCCCTGTGGTTGAGACTGCCTAGGTACAGATCCTAACCAGTACTTCCCAGGCGTTCGCCTGGGGTTTTCATTCGTACATTAGAAAAGTCATGAAAATGTCTATCTGTCCAATCAATTCAAATTTTAACTTGGGTCAAATTATTAGTCTAAGCCATTGTGTTGATCTTCTGCCAGGAAATGATGTCTTCTGTTTGCATTTACTCAATGGAATATTCATTTAAAAATTTTAAGTAATCAATGAAAAGCTTTAGAATAATTTAACAAGTTGACTGCCAACACACGTAAGAGTAAATTGCATGAGTGTTACTCCTGCATGATCTAAGCATGTTTTTAATTCATAAGTTTGAAAAAAATAAATGCAGGTTATTATGTATAGAACACAAAATGCTATTTTTATATAAATTTTTTCTTACATTTTGAACAGTGCTTTGTACTTCCCAGAACATTGCAGTACATATTCATACATTTTGAATACCATTTTGTGAGAAAACAAAGTGAATATTTTTTCCAAAATTTTAGAACTTGTACATTTTTACGAGTAACAAATACATTATGAAATTATATAGGTTTGTAATTTGAGCAGAGTGACACGGAGGCCAGAAAAATTTATATTCCCATATCAAACTATAGAAAAGGTGACCCACAAGTGGTAGATATGGCCACAAGCATGAACATTGCTTTGACCACCGGTGGATCACAAGGCCCCAAAAACAAATGTATCATGATCCACCGGTGAGTCGTGATAATTAAGGTGTTAACGTACATTCATAAACTTGATTACTAAATGTGAATCAGTTCTGATATTTCCAACATATAATTCTGACTGGTTGAAATACACCATTCTGATAGTTTCATCCAGGGTTCAATTTTCAGAGGCTTAACAACTAGTTTCATGCGAATTTGCATATCTCCATGCATTTCGTAAACATGGGATATTTTCTGTTTGAAGTTCCTCCATGAAAGCATTTCTTGTGACGAAGGTAACTGTTAAATATTTTTCATAATTAATTAAAAGAAATATGCTTTGCATTATGAATAATCAATCCAAAAGTTATGGGATAAAGTTTTAGTTATACGTGCTAACAATTGTCAGTGATCACCATCAGACTTTTATTAATTGATATGTTGGTGTCATTTAATCATCATCAATTAGAATCCATTGCTGTTAGGTGCTTTCTAATTAAATTACTGTATTAATATAAAAATGCATAAGCATTTCCTGCTGTTTAGTTTTGTTGCAATTTTAAAATAAAATCATTCAAAATAAAATTCTAATAAGGTAATTACAAGGTATTCAAAAAAGTTATGAAATTCCAGAAAGTGTTCAATATTATATTTTCTATATCATTTCTACATCTGTAGTGACTTAATTATCATGCATTATGATTTCGTTAAATTCAAATAGATTGCACATTATAAGACAATACTGACTGTAATCAATAAATGCTATTTTTATATAAATTTAATAAACGCTGTTAAAATCATTAAAATAATATGAAACAATAGCAATAAATCTTGTCAACTGATAATGATCATCAGTAAACTTTAATAATTTTGACTAGAATGTCATGTGATTTCTCATTACTGTCATTAATAAATAAGACCAGTCATTACCAAAGTTTTTAGTATTCAGACTTTAAAAGATTAAAAATAATTTGGGAAAAAACCTTCAGTTGCAAAATTTGAAACACTGGGTTACATTTATCTAAACAAGTACCTTATTACATAAAAGAAATAGACATTGGAAAATAAGTGTAATAACATATTGCAGAGTCATCATTGGTACTTTTGTAAATGAAATTTACATTTCTTACACATATACATTTAAAATACACCACTGTTATTATTATTGAATATATATCCTTGACACATATAATTAATTCATTGTATCAGATTTCATTTTGGTGCAAATTTAGTACAAAAGAATCCATTGAAAGATGATTGAACACCTATTTAAATTAAGTTGGGTTATGACAAAGTGTATGAGGGCTAATTGCCAACGGGAAGAGATGCCTTCATTGAGGATTTTCTGAGCTGAACACTTGTTTAGAGTTGTTACAGTAATAATAGTAGTATTATGTTACAACATCTGAAACATATTTTATAAATATGAGCAATGGAGGACCGTACTTATACAGATGATTTTCAGTTGTTGATGTGAAAAAGGATGATTTTATTGAAAGGGTTGATGTGAAAAGGATGTTTTTATTTTAAAACTTTAGGAAATTACAGTTATCCAGATATTCTTTTAAAATACTGCAAAGGAAAAACCATAATTTTTAGACTCAATAAATCACCGTTTTTTTCACTAATAATTTATTACAAAATTTTAGAAACAAATGATTTAATAACCGAAATTGCAGTAGATGGCTGTAGAACTGCAATAGATGGCTGTGTTGGATTGAAAACAATGAAATTTTATGTACATTATATTGTCCAAAACTAAATTTTTTAATATTTGTGGTTTAAATTTAGGTTTAATATTTAAAATACTTTATAAAATATTGCCATAAAATTACATAAAATGATATATTTACTTGTTTACACAAAATCTCTAATTAACAATACATAAAACTAAATTACAAATGAAGGTAATAAATAAATATTTAAAGTTCAAATTTTTGAAAAACTAGATTTTCTGTCTTGTTATTCTTTATACACCTAATGCCCTAATGCAGTAATGACTACTCTCTCTCTTTTTTTGAGGGGGATATGGATCTTTCACTTCCAGACATAAAGGCAGATAGATAACTAAATGACAAGAGAGGGAAAAAGGTTACAGACCATTCAAAGCTTTAAAAGTGACAACAAGCCTTTAAGTATCAGATACCCTTCAACAAGCAGGCCCAAAAAAATGTACCTCTGCTTCAACCATTTCTCCCACTCTTTTTTTTTTTTTTACCATAAGGTTTAATCCTGTATGACTGCTCTCGTTAATTTCTATGTGTTCTGAATATAACTTTACTGAGCCAGTGCCATCACAGAAACAAAACTGTCTCTTGTTTGTTACTTTCACAAATAGCTTATGGAATATATTTTGAAAATGCTATGTGTATAAGGCAATTTTAAGTATTCAATTACTCTTACTTAAAAAAAAAAAAAAAATGTGTTATAGCATATCATAGTAAATGAATCATGCTGTAATTATTTGGGATGAGGTACTGTCCCCAACACACTGCTTTGGCCTGTGCTTTAAATTGAAACAGGAGGCACTTAGTTGTCCCCACTAGTGTCAATTGGCTGGTCACTTGTCCTTAAGGACAGTGGCTTGGTGATAAGCTTTTGGGAGAGCTGACTGTGGGGGGCTTCAAATTGCGTATAGATTCAGTTATCTCTGGCACAGATTTCTGTGTCTCCTTGTTGGACTCAGTGGTGAGTGGGCTGCCAAGTCCGAATCATTTCCTTATTCAATATGGCTAATTCTAAAATATATTTAATTAAAGACTTTTGAGAAGTCAGGTTGCTCAAAGTGCTAGTTCTTTTGAAAAACCTGCTAAAAAAGTACATACAGATGCAAATAATCCTAACGATAGTTCCC